TGATTGTGTTTTGTTGCCAGCTCAGAAAATAGATCAGGGTGTCCTACCAGCTTACAAGCGAGAGAGCAAGAAAAGAGATTCTGATCAAGTTATCTATGGAGCCAGCAACGAATTAACATCACGCAAGACTGTAGCGCAAAACCAAATATGCCATGCGAGAAATATTTCATGATTTTAAATGCCTTTGGTGCCATGCAATTCCTTTTATGTATAATAGGGTATATATCCTTAAAAGGCATCACAAATTTGGATGATTCATTCTACCCTGAATTGAAAAAAATTCATTTACATGTTTATCATTTTTTCCCTCTACTTATATTTCTAAGTGAACAAACTTCTTCAGATTTAAAATTTATTTGTTCCGAACAACGCAATAAAATTTCTTCAACACATTTAAAAAGATTGATATAAGTAGATAATTGTATTAAAGATATAACATTTAACAATTAATTGAAGCTTTATTTATATGTATAGAGGACCCGTCCACGCTTTACTGTGGCTGATACATAAATGATACTACTTATACTGTCTATATGATTTCTATTAGTTAGATAATAACTATTAGTTAATGAGAAGATGAAGCAACTTGTACTAGGGGAAAAATACTGTTCGACTTTGAGCTGAGCACCAGGAAAATCACCTGAGTCTAATCGACAGTCAGTATAGTGGACTGCATATTATGGAACCGTTCTCAAGCGCGGAAAGACAAAAAAGTCGACTGGCAAGATTATGACATCAGTGTTTTGGTGGTGATTTGGTCATTTTAAAATCAAAATCTGCTCAATCGGCCCAGCCGTTCTCGAGTTTTAATCAGACTAACGAACAACATTTCATTTTTATTTATATAGATATACACAACATATTATTATATAATTGTAAGGATCCAAATGCACATAATATATATATATTAAGTCATTTATTTATGTTTATACACTCCATATACAAAAATTTTAAATTTTCTTGGATGCGCTCGTTTCTGGACTGTGAACATGATAAACAAATCTTTGCTTAAATTAAATACAACACAGTTATCATCATCATCATGATATCGGCCAATAAATGTCCACTGCTGTACATATATACAGTTAATTAGTATAGTGCTTTCTGGTAGACAATATTTGTAGTGTTTTTTTTTGCGGTGCGTAAATAAATAAGGATGTTGGTTTTCCGACATGCGAACACGCAACGTAGAATTGTCCATGTGCGAAACAGGGAAACTCTAAGTTTATTCCGCGAACTTGCAACGATTGGCCTTGGGATTTATTTATGGTCATCGCAAAAGCTAGACGCACGGGAAATTGGAACCTTTTAAAACCAAATGGCAAATCCGTTGGAATCATTTATTTTCATATCCTTCAAGTGGTGTTCCTTGTTTACGACACTGACAAGACTTTGATGATGCACTCCATGTGTAGTAGCGCGGTATATCAGCATACAGCAAAGTGCGAGCGAATTGATCAGTTTCACAAATTGACAAGAAACCTTTCAATGTGGTCACAGGTGGACATGCCGCTCTATCCACAGCGTTGTTTAGGTTGAAATAACCTCGTTGTCCATTTTCCAAATGGAATACAGTGGGATGCCTTTCATGAATTGCAACAAATATGCGCCAAATAGCCTCATTGCTGCTTACATAGCGACCCATCTGATAGTCAGACACTTCATCATTTGTGTTTGTTACTGCGAAGATGGCCATGTCGCTACCTTTCTTAACATATTTACATATGTACTTTATGGATTTCACAGAGTTCCAAAATTCCACATTGATGTGAGCTTCAAAAGTTTTGGACAATATGGGCGAGAACGGCACAATCCAACGTTTGTCTACATGAAAATCTTGTCCTTTTATCTTGACATCTACAGATCGTCCACCATCCTCAACTGATCGCCGACGATACAATGGGTAACCATCGATTCCCGAGATGGTTTTAGCAACCAAGTTTCTCGGGTACCGTTTGGAGCACTTGCGCGGGCTTCCGATGTAAGTGGCCGGTAAAATTGTCATTCTTCCTACATTATTTACATTGCCGTCAGCATCGCGAAGATGAATGTCCTCTTCAGATCGAAGCTGCTGTTGATTTAGACGAATGTATGTCAATCGTTCAGTCTCAATTTGACGTATGTATGTGTCCACTGCATACTGATGAAAGAGCCGTTGACACATCAAAATGTGATTTACTTCACCTTCACGGATCATGAGTCTGTATTCATAATAATTCCTGGCACTGACTTTTTTGTGTGTATCAGCACCTGGAAATACAAATGATAAAAAAATACATTTATATATTGAATATATAAAATATTTTATTTTGTATAATCTAATTACATGTTGTTGGATTAACCATTTTTATATTAAAATGGTACCTGTTTAAATGAGTTAAGCCTCCCAACTCTACCCGGAATAAAATGGCGCACCCTAACAAAACTGTGTACACCATATGATCACTAATACACCGCATCTTGGAACAAATTGGAAACTACCATAGTCGATGATACCACACTCGTACACAACACAACTCACCACACTACATCAACCCACTCAGCATAAAGGATGCACTGAAAATAATAGTCAGACTAGAATTAAGGAAAGTGCGCCCTTGTTTTAAAAAGCTCAAAATATACTTAAATATAGTAAAATTTACTCAAAGTATGTAAAGTTCCTTTAATTTGAGTAAGTCGTACTCTTCAATTTTAGGACGATCGTACTTAAAATAAAAAAATCGATGTCTTATTTTAAGTTCATGGCATTTTCCTATATTTTAGTAAAATTGTACTGAAAAGAAGTCATTTTTAGACTTTATAAGTGAAATAAGTTCAATTTTACTTGGTTTAAGGACAATATTTACTTAAACTTTCAACAAGTAAAAATTTATTCAATTTAAGGATGACTCAACTTATGCGAACCGACTATTTACTTAACTCAAACTTTGATATAAGGTCATGCTTCCTTATTTTAAGTTCAAGCATACATGGATTGTTTCTCTTTACTCTAATGCAAGCAGACATGAATTCTCTCAAAACAAAGCAGCGATAATCATATTCTATTGAACAGTGACAAGTGAGTGATGGAATTTTTTATGTGCTATAAAATATGTCAAATACAAATATGGAAATTGTTTTCGAAGTGGACAAAGTGTACAAAATATTGGAATTATTTGATTTAATAGATTTGTACGATTTACTGAAAGGTAAGTGTGAAAATAATATTGTGAAATAGATACAAGTGCAAACATGTGCCTTTTGAAAATGCATATGTATGTACATACATTAAATTTTTGTGTAGCATTACCAAAGTTAACTGTTAACTATACATATGCATATGTACATATGTACATATGTATGTTTCAATATATTTCACAAGAAAAAAGGCGCCGTGAACGTTTTTGCTTTGTATTACTTTTTGTTGTTTTTTTGTTTTAAGAACACAATATTACGGAGGAAAGTTTGAAGTTTATGCAGAGCAGCCACATTAATGAATTATTCCCCAAAGAACTTTTGGGACGTAAAATTATTTTTGAACAGAGATTGAAGGAGTGGCAAATAGAACAAGGAGTGGTAATTATGAAATGAAAATCTAAATAATGAAATAACTAATCAAAACAAATTACAGCGCGTTGAAATTTTATCTTTTTCATCAGAAAGCACAACGCCCGGATCAGGATCAACAGAATCAATTCCTTCTAGTTTTCTTGGTGCGGTTAATGATTTAAATGGAGTAAGTATTATTTTGCGTTTCTGAGTAACTTACAAAAAAATTTAGTAGATTTCGTTATTAGGAATTTTAAAATCTAACGTAAATGGAAATTCTGTTTTAAATTACTTTGAAAATAATCAAAGTTTATCAACCAAGACTCGGAAACTTTTATGTTCCTCGATCACGGAATACTTAATTTATAACAAAATTAAGCCAACAAGATTTTATTTTTCGAATTTAGCGGACAAAATTATAAAAAATTACCCAAAGGAATCTAAGGTAATGCATTAGATTTAAAAAAAAAAATGGATTTGATTTTAGGTTTGCTTATTAATTTACTGTTTCCAGGATACTTACTACTTATACAAAAAGTGTAAAAAGCCAAGTGGCAATTTATACGCGCACTACCACAACAGCATTTACAAACTACGAAAAGCGAAAGTTTCTGTTAACCAGCGAAACTGCGTTCGTCTCTTTCGTCTCTTTCGTTGAATWTAGATAAAAACCTTAATACAGATTTATATTCAAACGAAAACGAAGCGAAATATTGGCTTAAAAACAACATTGAACCGTACGATAAAGTGGTATAATACTGGAATATTACATACGAGACAAGACAAATGTTTTTTAATTCAACAATTACAACAAACGATATTTTAACAGAGTGGCCAATTCTAAAGCAACAGTTTGGATATTGTTTGGTAAAACGTTGTTTCGACTATGTGATTATTTAATTACAAGAGATTTGTTTGTTTCATAGATCGAATTGGACTTTGAAAAAAAATATCCTCTAAAATCAAACTGCTTGTTGGAAGAATGGGAAAATCTCGTAACCAAATTGATACCGCGTTTTAACAATTACGTCAAAGACAAATATGGTCTTCAATTATTGGAAAAATTAACAACCAATCTTGATAAAGGTTAGCTTCAATTGCTTTACGTTATGAAATGTATCAAGGAGTAATAATAATACTCTTATATTTGCTTTATAGATACACGTGATGTGATTGTTTCCTTGTTGCTTCATAGTATGTTAAAACCGACTCATCGCAAAAAAAAACAAGAAAACAACTTTATTTGAGCCCAGAGAAGCATTTCTTATACATGCTGCTACCAGGCAAGAGCTTCAACATAAGATACTTGAAGGTATCAATAAGTGCAAAGCTGGAGAAACAGTTCAACCACATTTGTGCGGAATCGGTGAAGATGATATAAATTTGACGCAATTTTATGTATTCTTCGCTAA